ATATATATATATATATATATATATATATATATATATATATATATATATATATTTATTTATTTATTTATTGTTAGTGGTTACAATTTCCAATGTCTAGTGGGTTGGTGGTGAAACTAACGTGACATAGAGATGACGGCACTTTTTCGGTGGGTTGACTATGACCACTCCCCACAACCTTATGTAGTCAAATCCTTGGAGGATATAGTTTTGACTAATGACAATGTATATTTGAAAATTTTAAAAGGTTGTGTAACTTGAAATTAAATTTTATACAACAGTACTTAGTATTATACAACATACAATTTATATCATAGTTATTGTAAAAACAACACCATCATTAATTAATATACATCTTAAAACCGAAACATTTGAAATTCAAATGGTCAATTTGCTTTGAAATGTTTAATTCATAAATAATCACCGTTGAGTTATTTCTATAGTGATTTGGAACATTGTTTTATATGTTTAACCATTAAACAATTTGTAATCTATGATTAATTATGTTTCTTTAATTTCAAATCAAATTAATAAAACTTCAAAACTCAAGTAATAATAAAATAACCAAGCTGTATATTATAAAAAGAATGCGTGTCTTGAATTTACATGTAAAAAGAATGCGTGTCTTGAATTTACGTGTCTTGAATCCGATTTGACAGCTTTTGGCAGTAGATAATATCTACATGGGTTCTACAAGACTGAGAAAAATGTGTCTGTCGCTTTCCAGTTTTCGAGTTTACCGCCAAGGAAGTTACCGGCCGGTAAAAAAGCAAAATCCACGCCACATACGGCGGTATTTCCCACCACATGCCCACCTGTCATCCACAACTTTCTATTCGGCGCCCACACACAGATTTTCGCGGGAATTCTTTTTTACTGACGACTTTAAAGTTTAAACTATCAACCTCCATTAATGGAACCCGTATTGATTTTAAAAAAATATACTGTATTTTTTAAAATATTAAATCATATTTTAATTTTAATTATAGTTATCAATTGTGTTTCTGTAAATAATTTCATTTATTGATAATACATGTATTTAGAAATTTAACTATATAACACTCGTTTTGTATTTACACTACTTTGTACTTGATGATATTATAGAAAGGTTATTATCATTGTAGCTCAACAATCGTTGATATATTTGTTTAAATGGTCCCTTGTGATTTTTTTTGCCTTTGAATGGTACAAACTTTTGTTTTTAGGTTTTAAAACGTCATTATGGAAAATTTTAAGGGGTCACCGGTTTTTCATATGCCACCTTTGTTTCCTTCATCCTAATCATCATCAGTTTCCCTCAAAAGTCAAAGGTCTTTGCCTATTCCCTCAAATACACCATCACAGCTTCGTCTTTACATCTTTTCTTGTTGGTTTTGTTTGTGAAGTTCTATCATAGAGAGAAAGAGATGGGAAAGAACAAGAGAGCAACCACATTCTTCATTCCTCTCACGATTTTCCCCAAATGCTTCACAGTGGGAGTAATCTCAATCGTTTTCAGAAACTCGCATAAACAAACAACACAATCAAAGGATGGAGACCCAATTGGGAATCGATTTCAGAATGTTTGATCTAAACCGGAATCATGTAAATGTAAAAGCTATTGGAGTTGCCAGATGGATACCCATCTGGGAATCGATTTGATTGAGTTGAATGTGATTGAGAGTTGTGTTTTGTTAAGAATCTAACGAGTAAACTGGAGACGGAGAACAAAACGGTCAAAATCACGACAATGAATAGAATAGAACAGTTGTGCTGATTTTCGGAGAAGATGAAGAAGGGGATGATGCTTTATGGAAAGTTACAGTAAATGAAGGTGAAATCGATGAGTTACAATGGCAGACGATGAGTCATCATCTACACGTATAGCCTCGGAGAACCACATCCATCTTCACCCCCTTCACCGAAAACGCACTGTACTCCTCCAAAACCCTATCGAGTTCATCGGAAGAGTTTCCGGTGATTGTCAAACTGTAGTTCAACAAATCCTCCAATGCGACATCGTTTTCGGATTGGGAAGGTACACGAAGTGTGAAGAAGTAGTGAGACCCGTCTAGTTTCACGGCGGCTTCGTCCTTGGCTAACGGCCACTGGATTTCGTAGAAGACACGAACGAGAGTCGTGATGAAGGTGTCGCCTTGTCGGATACGGATTATTTCGAACACTCCGGAAGCTAATTGTATGCTCTGTTGTTTGTCGATTGAGTGAACGATTAATTTGGGGATTTTGATTACAAATTCATCTGAAGATTCAAAAGCAGTTGATTTTTGTTCTTGTTCATGGCTTTGATCGTTGTTCGGGAACAATTTCTCAACGAGATCTTTGGTCTCGAGTAATGGGTACATGGATAGAGATAAAGGATTTGATGAAGAAAATGAGGAATATAAATCTGGGTTTGATTGTAAATATGGGTTTGATTGATCAACTTGTGGTTATAGATTTTTAGAGGAGTGTGACACCATGTTTGATTGTAGTTGTTGCAGGTTTTCAAGATTTTGAGGATATTATTGACTGACCTACTTACTTGGCACTTGATAAAGCAGTGTTACCTTCTAATGTGGGTAAAAGTACCAAAATGACCGGTAAAATACAAGTTGCTACCCTATGAAGGCAAAAAAAATCACGAGGGACCATTTAAACCATTATACTAAAGATTGTTGGGCTACAGTGACAATAACCACAGAGAGAATGAAAGAAATTGGGCTAAGAAGGAGGAGGAAATGATATCATCTAAATGACATTTCATTCACTGTCATATAGGTGTCACATCACTTTTTACCATAAAAATATGGTTCCTTGTCACCCCCAAGTAGTAGTGTCACACTTTTGTTTTTGTTTTTTGTTTTTTGTTTTTTCTTTTTTTTCAAAATTTGATTTAAATAAAACTTCATTTTTAATAAAAAAAAACATAAATTTTCATTACTTCAAAATAAAAAGAAAAGATGACGTTACATTACTTCAAATGAAAAAAAGAATAACATGACATTAAAAAAATCCTACAAATTAAAAAAAAAACACACACACACATCAAATGATTAAAATAACTTAAAAAACACAAATAAAATAACTAAAATATACTACATAAAGTCGTTCCCCGAGAACTCATCTTCCAAGTCATCGGGGGGAGGGGGTTGTCCAAATTAAGGTTAATGTGTTGAATTCCGTAAATGTTTTTCACCACGTTCGTGCGAAGATTGTGAAATGTTTCACTGCAACGTATCTCTGCTCTCCTGTTCATATACTCATCGCCACCAACTTCTATTAGTTGTGTCTCGGGGATGGTTTCTTGCTCTTCATACACATATATCGCTCTTCTTTCGTCTTCAATAATCATATTATGCAATATGATAAATGTATACATGATTTCTTGAAAATTTTCCTCGCCGAAATAAATTCTTGGTTTTTTCAATAAGTACCAACGTTTCTTAAGAGCTCCAAAAGTGTGCTCGACATCCTTCTTAGCTCTTTTGAAACATCCCAAAAATATAGACCAAAAATTTCGTTTTAAATCGGTAGTAAAAACCATCAATAACATCAATCACATAAAAATCATAGTCATGTATTTCAAAACATCATCAAATCTGTCAATGTATCAAAATCATATATCATAAATCAGAGTGAATCCTCCCAGGCTAAAACGGTGGTGTGTGCCATGCAGTCATCCCGAGCTCTTCCCCTTACTAGCAGAAGTACCTGAAACCAAAATTGAAAACTGTAAGCACGAAGCTTAGTGAGTCTCCCCAACTACCACATACCATACACATATCACATAACATATATTGGGCCCCGCGCCTGCTACATCGAGTCAGGCTCGACATCGGCTTTCCCGGCATCGGGCCCCGCCGAACATCGAACCCTATTCAGCATCGGGCCCCGCCTGGCATCGAGCAGATCTCAGAATACATGTGAGCATAAACAAATAATACACATAACCCTAAGCATATATCATTAACATTTACACATTTCCTCGGGCCCCGCCCGACATCGGACTGTAATCCGGAAACATACTAACATTCCTCGGGACCACCTCCGCATCGGATCTAAGTCCGGAAGCATTCAAGCACAAACACATGCAAGAATCACAGAGACTGTTGGGTTTTAGTATACTACAACATCCTATGGTGCACATACAACCCTAAATACCTTGGATCTAT